GTGGTTTTCTTTTCATTTTTCAAATTTTCCGTTTTTAACCCCAATCCCCATCTCGACCTTCGCATCCTCCTTTTTATCGTTCTATGGTCTGCGCTCTTACCCGATGTCATGCTTGGATTAAATCAGCGTTTCCTGTTATCCTTTGATGTGACTTTTGTATCCACGTCTGAATGTTTTGACTACTTCCCAAGAGGTGCTATTGGTGGTGGTTCCTGGCAGGATTAAATACTTGACATACTCTGCGTATTGCACCTCTTTCCATCAGATTCATCATTAGATAGATTTCCAATCAAGTCTCCCCCATCTCCAGGTCCCCTGCCTACAAGAATCCAATTCAAATAACGTAGCTCACACACATTGGCTTTCGTATTTGTTTCTTTCAGTCGATGAGGATTTGGCGGTACATCACTATCTGAGATGATACTAGCCCTCAATGCCTCTATCTCTAAGTTAAATGCCATGTTCGAGTTATCCTCTAGCTTTCAATCGCTAGAAGCCAGATATACAACATATAGTCAACCTGTGCCCCCGCGCGGGGTTTCCAGACAACGGGACTCGGCCACGTGTCTTGCTTGCCACGTGTCTTGCCACGTGCCTGCCGCCTGACGGCCACCAGATAGGCAGGTACGAAGGCGGTAATTTTCTGCCGAAGTGAGGTCCTACTGAACTGAACGTATAGATACATCGCCCTTCGGGGCATATGGCCAACCGAAAATATACAGAGAAGATTAGCATGGCCCCTGCACTAAGGATGACACGCATAATCAAAGAGCAGCTATCTTATTTTTTTTTCTTTCGAGATCTGATGTTGAGGATGTACTAATGTGGGTCTGCTAAACAAAGTATGATTGGTCCTCTGCTTTGGGGAGATCACGTGTTTGGTTCCAAGGGTTGGGTTTCGAATGACGTTGTCGGCGAATCCACTTTTTAATCTACCTGGATCAGACCTTCAGATCTACATTGTAGCTATGCAACCTATGTGCTCACTGCTATCCAACATGGGACGTGTGGTATCATCACCCTTCCCTCACGGTAGTAGTTGGAACTATAAACCATTACAACATACACTGCTAACTACCCGTGAAGATCCTGATGGATTGTGAAGAGAACAATAGCAGAGAAGTTCACACCAGCACTTTAAGGCCACAAGTAAATGCCGAAGGCATCCTGTGACTGAGAGACATACGTGTACCGGGGCTAGCATGACATGTTTGAATACATGACATGAGTAGGTGACGCAGTGGTGCGGCGCAAACGATCATGAGCAACACATTCCAAGCCAGGGAGCTATATATAGCAACAAGGCATACGGGAGACAAAATGATGATTGGACCAGGCGAATATGTAGACAAAGAAGTTAACAAGACAAAAAGAAATTCATGCATTCATATACAATACAATATTAGCGCAAAACTAACCGACCATAGTCGGCAGACGAGCCTCATAAAAAATCAAGCCAGAATGTTCAACCGCACGACCAAGACCACGACCAAGACAGGACTAGGCAAGATGACCATCTCTCATCAATAGTAGCCCCTCCACCAAACAGCCATACAAGCAGCAACAACCAGATCAAGCATTTTGATCCCCTCATCTTCAATAACCAACTTCCCCAATTTCGCACTCTTCCCCCTTAGCCCACCACCAGCAGGCTCCCTCGCAAGCGAGAGATCCAATCGATCATCGTCGGAATCATGATCCAGATCTCCACCACTACTATTACTCATACTGCGGCGTGAGTGGGGCCGAGAAGCGGGGTTGAACTGGCTCTGGCGCGCGAAGCGTTGCGCGCGCAAAGAAGTTCTGCGGAGGAGGCTTGAGGGGCTGAAGCTTGCGCGCGGGTCTGTGGGGGTTGAGGCGGGAAGAGGTGAGGCGTAGTTATTCGGGTTTAGGAGTTGGGAGAGGGAGTTGCGCTTTGCGGATGCGTTGCTGTTGTTGGAAGAGGATGGGTGGAGTGGTCCTCCATCGAGGCCGGAGTTGTTGTCGTCGCTTAGGTGGGGGAGGGACTGGGTTTGGAGTTGGCTTTGCGTGAAGGGGGAGAGGTGGTTTGGGTGGGGTTTATGGATTGCGTGGTGTGCGTGCGAGTGGAGATTTGCTGCTTGGAAAGGGGTATTGAAGCGGATCTCGGCGACGGTTACGGCGGGGGGGGCTTCTGTTTCGCCGTTGGAAGGGACGAAGCCGCCGGGTGTTGGGATCATGTGTTTGCATTTGAGGCTTCGGCCGTTCACGCTGTTTGTGAAGGTGCATGTGCCATTCCATGGAGAAGTGAAAGTGTAGTAGCCGCTTTTTAGCTTGGACGAGGACGAGCTCCCTTGGGTGTGGCCGTTGCTACCATCTGTAGCAATCGAGTCATCGAATGGCTTTGATACGCAGAGTTGACGACGGAACTTGCGTGGGCCGGTTGGCTGCTCCTTTGGTTGCTCGGTTGCTGGGGATTGGGAAATGGCAGAGCTGGGCAGGCGTCCAATTCCCGTCGGGAGATTGGCGGCCAGGCTGGATAATGAGGGTATCTCATTTGGGCCTGCGAACCTGTTGTATCCCGGCGTGGAAATCTCGATATCAACGGTGTTGCGGTCCATTCGTGGGGTCGAAATCGTTGCCACATTCCATTGAGTGCCGGACGCAGGATCACGTCGAATGAGCGTAATATGAAAGCCAGCATTGCTAGGAGGGTTGCCATATGTATTTCTTGGCCGGTTAGGAGATTCCCTGGAGCTTTCTAAGGGTAATCCAGTACAGTTAGGCGAAGAAAGAGGTTGCATTGGTGGTCTGGTAGAGTCAAGGCTGTGACGGCCAGCCGACAACGCCTCGTACTTTGCCTCATACTTTTCCCTCCAATTCTCTCCCCGAGTTTGCAATTGTTCGGCAAACGCGCTCCAACGGGAAGGACTTTTAGGCGGGTCCTCGCCTCCTGCAGAATTGGTCCATGACTCTTCACCGGGCGGTAAGGGAGGCAAAGGTCGTCGTGGGCTGCTGCTCTTACCACCCGATTCTACCGATATCCCTCCAGGCATGTAATTACTCGAAGGAGGCTGTGTGTTGGAATAGGCGACTGGAGTCCCAGAGAAAGATACATTCTCCGCCGTAACCTGCGGCATTGGAATTGGTCGTGGTGGCAGGGCCGGAGGAGCAGTAGCATCCTGTTGAGGTGGTGCCAGCAAAGGCACGGGATTGAGGTTCCCTCCCCCACCAACTGGTTTCCGGCGCACATTATTCAGTCGCGCGAACTCGCGTTGAGCTGGGTCCCCGACACCCGCTCTCTCGAGACGCTCCTTGTGCAACTGGGCCTGCTCTTCGCGCTCTGCCTCCACTTCCTGGAGCAGGGTATCATCTTCGGGAGTCGCAACATGGAGATAGTAAAGAGAGGCATTGATCGCCTCAGCGGAGACACTGGATTTCGTCGGTGGTTTAAGAGTTGAGAGGAAAATGTCTGCAAACACAACCGGCAGTCAGTTGTGGTTCATCTTCATTTGATTGTTAAAGCACAATAAGGCGCAAGTATGGGGATTTCAAGACTGATAGATGGAGAGCAGAGTGTCAAGGTAGTGGAATTGAATTATACCTTTGCTTCCTGGCACGCGCACAATGTAGAGAGATAGTGGTTCGTGCTTCTCGCGGGCGGGATTTCGTGGGTATGCGGGGGGATTCGATGCGATATTGGTGACCGTTGACAGTGAGCGTGCCTCTACAGGACTCTGAGGAACGGTAGACATTGCGGACAAGGCCGCGATCTACCCCACAAGAAACGCAGGTAAAATATCGAACGACAAAGATGTAAAGGTTGAAAGAGGAAAATAAACAATGGGGGCACTCGGTAGTGGGCGGAGTTGTCCTTCCGCCGGGGGAAGGGAATACCTGGTCTATTTCTGTTCGCTGTTCAAGTTTCTGTTCAGGTTTCTGTTCAGGTTTCTGTTCAGGTTTCTTTTCACCAGTGGGGTGAAGCTGCACAGGCCAGAAACAAGGGAACGCAATGGCAAAGAACAAGATTAGAGAGCTGCCTATCGTGGCGCAGTACGTAAACCCTTGGGCCTTGATTACGTTGGGATCTACTCCGTACCCTTCAACCATCTACACGTTGTCGCTGCAGATTATGCTGGGGCTAGAAATAGTCGCCAAATGCCTAAACAACGCCTATGACAGAAAAATTCACCTCATCTAAAATGAGAACTATGTTGGATACACCGGGCAGCAACCCAATTTCCTTCTCCAGGCCAATTGAAGCCCTACTTACCCCTAGTAATTATTTCCCGGCGCTAACGCCTGACGAGACAGCGGCCCAACTCTGTGTATACCTCTTCAGACCCGGCTCACGCGCTTTGGGAGCTCTGGAACGTCTTGTTTGCAACCGTGGCCAACTCTCCAACTTCGTATGACCCACCCTCAGCTCGCATTCCTCGACGCCCTCCACACACATCCCCCTCCCTTCCCAACGCAGCTCAACGTGCGCGTAGGATACAATGCCCGCAGCTACATCGCGGTCGACGGAAAGCTACAATTGCAGACACAGCTACAAATTACTGCGCAGTGGCGCGACGTGCATTATACCCTCGAGGCCTGGCGCGACTGGGACGGTATGCGTGATTCGGGTGCGAAGAGCTCTATCAGTAGTATGTTAAGTAGCAGCGGCGGCGAGCACTTTCTCCGCTTCTGCGTATTCTCGGCTGCGCTTCTGAAAGTGATTATAGGCATAGGCAGCGTGCATCCCATATGGGGTTTCTTTGCGTGTCGCGACTCGCTAGAACGTGATGGACCTCAGTTCCGTCCACTTAAAGCACATAGGATGTCGTCGGAGCAGCTGTGGATGTTGTTTGTCCGGGCAGCAACGACCTGGATGCGAGATGGGGGCTGGGCATTGTGGGCAGACTATGAGCCGCGGCACTAGGGGCTGGCGTTTGTTAACAGGACGGAACCGTGGCTGAAAAAGAATGGTCTGACGCGGGAGCGGTGGGTATTGTGAGGGCAGAGGCTGCGTGCTTGAAGCATAGAAATAATCTTGGACGAGGAAACTTAGGTGGTGGTTACAGAAGCTGCTGGTGTGGTTAGCGGAATTCTAAAAGAAGACTCGACTTGGGAGTGCTGGGCTTCCCACGATGTGCGCATCACAACTTATATTGTTGCTCATTGTTCATATGTTTGGTATCTCCAGAATAGCTACACGGCCAGAAATAAAAGTAGAAAGTCTGTTTAAAAAGGGGGGATAGAAAGAATGCAATCTGGAGGCAGTACTCCTGGGGGTGTCAATAACAAAAAAAAAAAAAAAAAGACTCCGTGCTGCAACGCCAGACATTTCCATGTCCATGTCCACGTCCCAAAAAAAAACACAACCAAGTGAAAATCCCATGTATAACCGATATTAGACAACAGTCTCGGACCGTTCACCTTCTGCAATGACTGGTACACCCAGACCACGATCCGGGCTCTGCAATACAAGCTGTTCATGACGTCGAGCCCGTAGGAAATCACTGACTGCACGGATTAAAATGAACCAACCAACAATCATGAGAATATATGAGATCCATTCACTGGTAGTGATGCCAGATATAGCGCCGTTCCCTCCACTGCCCCCGCCCTCACCAACTGAGTCGGGGTCGAAGTTGTGGCTGTTGGGATCAGGCGGAGGAACATAATCTGAGCTTCCAGGGTCGGAGCTTGAACTTTCGTTGCCACCTTTCATGTAGAAGCCGTACTGAACAAGAGTGAGACCGAGGCCCGCTCGGCTGCCATTCTTCGCGGCATGGGTGGTGTGAAGGAGATAAGTCAGCAAGAAGCCAACAAGCTGGAATGACATTGAGATCATGGCGTTCCAGACAAATGAGAAAACAGATCCAACAGGCAATCCGTCGACATAGACCTCGTCGGAAGAGATACCAGGAGCCACAATAGTGGTCTCCCAGTACGGTGGTGTCGCATCAGCGGCGGCTTCTTCGTATGACTAGATAACATCTCAGTACACAAGCCTCCCAGATAAATTAATTAGAACGCTAATAAACAACTTACAGGGGGAAGATCATCGTTCTTCTCGCCCCGTTCTGGCTTGGCGGCAAGATTGGCAAAAACTCCATCATTCGACGAGGAGATCTGCCGACTCCCCCCAGAGCCCGGTTGCGTGAAATTTGGTAGCATTGTTGAGCGCCTGAGAAGCCCTGGTTGAACCTCTGCATCGATACTCGACTCCGACGAGGACGCCGTGGCGGTATGGCCATTATCCTGGGGAGCCCGGAAGTCGGGGTCGGCTCGCATCAAGCGCTGCCTGTCATCCGGTTCATTATCATCGTCGGACTCGTCTTCGTCCCCAAAAGCATCGGCCAGCGTCTGTTCATCATCGTTGTGCAATAGCCGCCTCGACGATGGTGACGACGAGCGGGACCCGGAACGGAACGAGGAAGGCGAGGAGGCGTTGTGTCGGGGTCGCGCGTTCAGCGGATAGGAATGTGGTCCTTCCTCTTCGTCGTGGGCATTCACCTATAAATGTGATGGTTAGTTCTTGTCGAGGGATCCCATCCGGGCGGGCTTGTTCTGATAGGGGATCAGCGGGGGATTGCGTACCCGTGAATAACGCTGCGAGCTCATGGCGAGCTGAGCGGGAAGCAACCCTGAAAAGAATCAGAAAGTAAATTGAGACTGAAACAACTTGGATTGGAAAGCAAAGATGTTTATAACAAGAGCACAAGGGGAGGGAAAATGTCGGGGTTGATGAGAAGGCAACAGGAATGGATGTGGCTGAGGATGCCTGATGCATCAGGCTAAATTAGACGTTCCCGTCTTTGCCTCAGCTTTCAAGGGAAGATCCTTCCCCTATACCACAATTATCTTGTGAAATCTCTTATCCACCATGGCTAAAACACCTGTAAGTCTCTACTCCAACCTCTGAATTATCCCACCCAACACCATCAACAAGCTTCCCAATCTTTAATCCCAAACACTTTCCTAACAAGCAGTCTAGACCCTTAGCCCGCGCTCCCTTCAAAGCCGCCTCACCCACGTCCTCAAGCACTGGCCCTCGGACGCAGTGCGCCCAGCCTCAGTCTCCGTCCAATCCTACATTCAATCCCGTCTTCAAACAGCAAACAAGTCTAGTCCAATCTCCGAGTCCTCCGTCAATGCACTTGAGTCGCTGCTGAACAACCGCTACGCGCGCAAATATCCCATGCCGGAGAAGCTGCGCCGACCGGCCAGTAACCCAGACCACTATGACAATGTTGTACGTGAGTTTGCGGAGGCGCCGAATCGTGATTGGTTTGGCCGGGTAAAAAAGAGGTTGGCCGGTATTATCCGCTTGACGTGATGCTTTTATTCTTGCTGGATGTATAGACTTTTGGTTTTTTGACATTGGAAAACCTGGGAAATCTTGATTTATCAGTGTCTCACTAGATTTGGGTCAGTATTATGGGGTTTCATTTGATGGGTTTCATGACTTGTTCCAATACCTTGTTATCCTTTTTTTGTTTATTGTATTCCTACGTTATTTTCTTCTCCAATTTACGAGATTTGTCAAGAGTGATGTTCTTCTTGATGCACATCCAGGATATGTCCATGGGAATAAATTTTGAAACAAGCTAACTCCTAATTGCTATCTACAAAACGCTTGAAGATTCATACAGTTTGCATCCAACTTTAAAGCATGGGCTTCAGGTCATCGGAGACCTTGAAGGGCGCATCGGTCTTAGCCTGGACCTCCTCGACAGTGACACCGTCGGCAATCTCAACAAGAGTCAGGCCGTGGGAGAAGTCAACGTCGAAGACGCAGAGGTCAGTGATGATACGGCTGACGCAGGCAGGGCCAGTCAGAGGGAACTCGCAGTTCTTGACAATCTTGGCGTTACCCTTCTTGTCGGTGTGTTCCATGGTCACGACGACCTTGGTGGCGGATGGGTTGGAGACCAAGTCCATAGCACCACCGAAGCCCTTGATCTTACCGGGGAGCATCCCTGCAAAAATTGTAAGTTGAATGCCTAAAACGGAGGAAGCGTGGGAAAACGTACAGTTGGCCAAGTCACCCTTGGCGCTGACCTGCATAGCACCGAGGATGGTCAGGTCGATACGGCCGGAGCGGATCATGCCAAAGGATTCGTCGCTACCAAAGCAGCTGGCACCGGGCTTGAGAGTGACAGTCTCCTTGCCCGCGTTGATAAGATCAGCGTCCTCCTCACCCTGCTTGGGGTAAGGGCCGAGGCCGAGAATACCGTTCTCAGACTGTAGCGTCACCTCGACGGAGGGGTCGACAAAGCTGGGAGCAAGCATGGGCATACCGATGCCGAGGTTGGCGTACATACCGTTCTTGAACTCCTTAGCAGCACGGCGGACGATACGCTCGCGCTTGTTGGCAGTATCACCCTTACCGAGAGCAGAGGTGTCAGCACCCTCCTCTTTGGCGAAGGTGAACTTCTCGATCTGCTTGGGAGTGGTGCTCTGGATAACACGCTTGACGTAGATACCGGGCAGATGGACGGCAGCGGGATCAATCTCGCCGGGCTCCACGATGTGCTCGGCCTCGACGATGGTCATCTTGGCGTTACGGCCCATGGCACCGTTGAAGTTGGCGGCCGCGTAGCGGAACTGGCAGTTACCAAGCTTGTCGGCCTTCCAGGCCTTGACGAAAGCGTAGTCACCCTTAATCGACTCCTCCATGACGTAGCTCTTGCCGTCAAACACCTTGGTATCGCGCGGCTCGCTGAACTTGGCGACGGTGCCGTCGGCGTTGTGTCGCAGAGGCACCTCACCGGTCTGCACCACGGTACCGAAGGCGGCGGGTGTGTAGAACGCGGGGATTCCCGCACCGCCGGAACGGCACCGCTCAGCGAGGGTTCCCTGGGGAGTGAGCTCTAACTCAATCTCACCAGTGAGGTACATGCGCTCGAAGGTCTTGTTCTCACCGACGTAAGAAGCAATCATCTTCTTGATCTGCTTGGACTGGAGGAGCAGACCGAGACCAGCTCCGTCCACACCGGCGTTGTTACTGGCCACGGTCAGGCCAGTGATGGAGGGGTTCTTCAGAACGGCGTTGATCAGCGAGTCAGGTACACCAGACAACCCGAATCCACCAGCGAGCAGAGTCGAGTTGGACTTCATGTCCTTGACCGCTGCTTCGGCGGAAGGGTACACCTTGTTGATCTCACTTCGGCGGACGCTGCTGGAGAATGCGCGGGCCATGAAACGTTGGTGCTGGTTAAAGGCAAGGCATGTTAGTCTTCGCGACTCGAAGAGCGCTGTGGGCGATGTGGGCGATGGGCAAATTAATTACCTGGGCTGGATTGGCTGAGAACTGACGCGCAAAGCGCAGACATGTTGCAACCTGAGAAGGCATAGCGAATGACTTCCAAATGAGAAATTGGATATCAGTATTATGAAAATCCCAAGTGCACAGCAACTTGCAAAAGACCCAGCGCCTGCGGCAGCGGCAATAGCCACTTCTTATATTCCCGCACGGCAGTGAGAGCGGAATCATTCCCGAGTGATATTCGTTTCCCCGGAAATGTGGATTCCCGGCTCTCTCCCGCCTACTACAATTGCCCTGATCTCAATGCTTTTAACCCCGGAGCCCCTGAAACTAGGTAGCTAACTATTAGAAATGCCCCAGACTAAGCACCGTCAACTTCTACATTTGTTTCATTCTTCTTTTTGGCTTTTTGCTTCTCACTACCTTCAAAATCCTCCTAGGCGGATTCACTCTCTCTTCTTGCCGCTGCCGAAATCCACAGCCGATCCGTATCCGATTCCCGCGGCTGGCCCAGGTGGGAAATCGGAAGTGCTGAGTCAGCACATGGTCACCTGATATACTTGTGGTAACGAAGTACAGTGACTCCGCAAGAGTGTCAACACCCCTTCTACTACCGCCCTCCTGATTCATCATACGGCCTCTTCAAACAGAGACCGTCTTTTCTCCCTTAGCCTTTTATCGGTAGATGTTAAGCCGGCAGAAATTAGGGTGTCAATGCTTTTACGTAGTGACCGTAGGTGGCTTCAAAGGTCAAACATGGGAGAAAAGATCAATTGCAACTATCTTAACTCTACACATACTCCATGGTATCTTCAGCGTATGTACATGCTGGATAACAAAAAAACATTTCACACCTCGCAATGCAGTAGTATCCACGTGCAGACATAAGAGAATCGGGAAATCATGCAATCATGCAATCATGCTGCCCAGGTGGGTGCCATACAGTGTGAGTGATTAGGTCGGACGGGTTGTTTTCACTTCATCAACACTCTTGCGTTTCAGAGGGTTGACAGTTTCCGCATCGACGGGCGTGACATTGCAATCTACCAATACTGCTCCAAGTCAGTCGCAGGACGAGGACGAGGCCATGTGGTGGTCTCCGCTTCGGATTCTGTGTTTCCCGTACCTGGAGTACTATTGATGGCCGACGCTTCCTCATATGACGGAGGCTCCATGTTCACATCTGGCGCAGGGCTGGTGGGCTGAACACCCTCCATGGCCATGGCTGGTTCTGAATCGGCAACATTGGGCTCGTCTTCGGATACCTCACGGCAGACTGGGTTTGCCAGACGGTCTTTCATGCCATCATTGACATAAACAAGGAAATACGGGGTCGGGGGATTGCTGGTCGAGTCGTTCTTGAAGATCTCATCCACGTTCTGGACCTCTGTGACATACTCGTCATTGTATTTGCGCCATATCTCCTTGTCAAAGTCGAAGATGTAGATGTAGTAATGACCGAATGAGACCGACCCATGATGCACAAAGACGGCGTACAGTCGATATGGGAGGTTCTTGAAACCAGCAAATTGGCTGGAAATCAAGGTCTGTGTATCCTTGATTTCTTGGTCAACAGCTATAAAATGAGTCAACATGTCTGTTTCCAGTGAGCCCGTAAGCTGAGGACTCTTACCTTGCAGATCGGTCTCTGCCTTGTGGGAAAGGGATTCAAGTTTGTCTAGTAGCTCAGTGCCAGCCACAGCAGTCATTGAATCAAATCCGACTTCAGCTCCGGGTTCAGTCTCGTTTTCAATGGAGTTCACATCTTGTAGTGCAGTTTTAACTCTACGGAACAATGTTGCCATGTCAACGCCGACACCCTCCTGCAGAAAGGAAAAAAGGTTAGCTATATGGATCTGGAACACTTTCGCTGAGAAGATTCGATACCTTCGTCCTGAGAAGCTCTTCTCGGCGAGCCTCAAGCCTCTTCAAAGACGCCTTCCACTCCCAACATTGATTTCGTCGATCTACAACATCCGGATTCTTGGTGTCCATGTATCGGTCCATGTAAATAGTTTCAAGCAACCCAAGATGGTTTGTAGATTTGAACGAGCATTTCTTCACAGTATCAAATTGAACCCGTTGCACTTGAATCTGGAGCACGGGCGGCAGCTGGCTGATGGAAGCGAATTGCTCAGCCACAGAGTTGTCCACACTAATATTTTGGATGTCAAATGCCCCATCGATGGCATCGTAGATATTTCGAGATCCATGAGCAACATCAACTTTGATGTCACACCACCGTTCGTCCTTCGAGCGTGTGCCATTTTCGGTGGAGATGTAAGAGCGGCTTTGACCGTAGAACAAGCTAATGATAATGGTTAGCATAGCTAGAGTATTCAAAGGTTGCTCATAATTTACTCTTTGATCTGGTCAAGCTGTTCACCGTCCCTGCCAATGCCTCGAGGCTTGATCGCGCATTGGCTCTGGAAGAGAACATTGTTGATGACTTCTGTAACATCCTGCTGGGCACCGATTTCAACCTCTTCCTTCAGTTGCTTTTCCCTATCGACTCGCGAGAAGTTGCGAGGAGGGACGGGCGGCGGGACGTTGGCCGAAACACTGTCGTCTGTGTCGATATTCATGTCCTGAGGAGATCCTGCCTCTGCTTGATCTGACAATTGGTCCAAGTCAGGAGGATTGTTCTCCTTGTCTTCAACAAAAAGCCCAGTTGCGTCGTTCATGCTATCATCCGAGACCAATGTTGTATCGCTGCCATGATCGCTGTCGGTCGAACTTTGAATAGGGACGGGATCAGCTTGGCTTGAATTTGGAACTGACTCCATCCGACCTCCGAGAAGAGACTGTGGGGGTCCAAGAGGTCCCAGAACAGGAACACCTTCAATATCGCCAAGCATCTCAGATTTAGCAGCCGTGATTGTTGATCGACGACGAATTGCTGCCTCGTTGCTTGGGCTAATCAAGGTCAACCGAGCAAGTTCCTGGCCGGGAGTTACCGAGATTTGGGACGAAGTGATCATGCTACGGAACAGAATCTGGAGCTCACTAAGGACTGCAAACGAAAGGGTCAGTTTGGGAGAGATAGCCATCGGAATCAACGAAGGAACTTACATCGCTGAGATCGCTCGACCTCCTTCTTCGACACTTTTCGCGAGCCCACTTGTTTTCTTGCGAGGTTTTCCTCGTCATTAAGATCCATTTGGAATCGTTCATAGTCCAGGACCAACTCACGGAAAGGACGGATAGAGAAATAGAACTGCAACAGGCTATTAAGATAGCATGTATTGCCGATATTTTGTAGTCCGACTGGCCAATCCCGCATGCTTCTACCAGGCCCGTTGGAGATACCTGCCACACTCCTCAGCGTAGAGCTGTCCAGTCGTTTGGCAATAATTGTGAGAGCCTGATTGTATCTCTCGGCATCCCCGGGGTTTTCATCAATGCAGATTGTATATGCGGCTATGATTGCGCCATCATCGACAGTTTGATCGGGGATTTGGAGTAGACGATAGGCATCACCAATGTCCATTTCACCAGCGATCATCTCTCCAGTATTGACGAAATGGTTCAATGCGACCGATTTGCGAGACTCGGCAATGAGTGCCACGGCGCGTTTCGCAAGTTCTTTGGTAAGCGGACTGTCATTGACCTAATTAATAACAAGGTTAGCTTGCGTCCCACCCACAAATGAAGCATTCGGAAAACACGCCTTTGCGGTGTACATAGTCATAACAAAATCATCAGGAGTCTGATCCTCGACCCCCAAGAAGACATTCGCTTGTTCAACAGTAGAAACACCTGTTCTCGAAATTAGCACGCATTCCATTTTGAACACAAATGACTGGATCAACGCACGGTCTTCTGATGCCGCCTTGATACGCGTGCTTCCCCTAGAGTCACCAATCCGCCACAATTGCTGACGCGCTTCGGCATCTTTCGTTGTAGAGCTAAGAAATGCATAGAATTTGCCAATGATGCTATCCTCGGTGAGGTTTGGATCATCAAATTGGAGATTAAAGTATTGATATGCGCTGACGACATCCTCAACAGCATACTTTCCTTGCTCATAAGCTGTCTGGACAGCTATGTCAATTACCTCCTTGTCTTGGCCACCACGCAGACAGCCGATAGCCTTGAGAGCAGACAAGTATATCGGGGTCCTACCAGAATCGGCAAAGACCTGTCGATTGTATGCTTCGACCACGGCTGATGAGGACATATCCTCCATCACTCCCAGGTCTTCGTAGAAACTAAAGACGCATTTGTTAGATCCAACTCTATCTATTAGATGTTAGGGTGTACAAACGGAGCATGAGCCATCTCAAATTCCTGGTAACGCATAGCTGTCGGATCTGGAGCAGAAATTAGTTGAGATTTCCTAGGGTGTAAAGCACAATATACGAACAATTTTGGGCTTCTAGAGCGCATGAAACAACGGGGATGGCGGAGGAAGGAAGATCGGGAATCTGGGATCCTTTTCTTTCTGAGGCCGATCTGAGATGTATCAGGACTAGCAATTCATGCAGCAGGTCATCGAGAAAGAGACTCAATGTGTCTTGGTAAGGTTTCTCGGGATTTGAAGTCGGTTTAGGCGGGTGCCATGCCCCGGTCTCCTGAGTCGATTCGTCAGCGACACAAGACAAATGACACCAGTGGACGACTTGGGAAAACGATCCAGCATTTACAAACCTTGTTGTACGTGAACTCTAGAAACTCAAGTAATTCTTTACAAGCTGCACCTTCCACGCCGAAAGATTGCATGAACCTCTTGTTGACGGAGGAGATGGGCTTGCTGCGTTGTGGATTTCGTAGGGCATTGGTAATGTACAGGCGCATATTATCCAATACATTGATCGGCTGCGGATCACCCATGCCTTCCATGGACTCAGGATACGCTGCTTTGGCCCCTTCGGCTCGTTTCTGCAACAACTCTTTATCGGTCATCAAGCGGATGAATTCCAGGCTCAGAATCGGAGAAAGAATCCTCAAAGAAACCATAGCTGAGCATGAGATGTAGGAACATTGGTAGTGGTACGTCTCCGCAACCTGCCCTTTGGGAGTTTCTTCGGGCAACGCAAGGCCATTCTTCTGCCGTCCTGATTTGTAGACCAAATGATGCAAGTGTTTCCCCTGGTTCTGACCAAGTGCGCTCATGTGGCTGATGTAGTTGACTACCACCTGAAGATGATAACGGCATTTTATGCATATGGCTGAGACCTTGGACGATGTGCCAGGCCGTCTCCGGTGCTCTGGCTCTGACATGAATGTTTGGTCATCTTTCAAGACGTATCGGTGTCGACATGCTTCCGGTGATATGAATCCAAGTGGGCCATTGTAGCCTTCTGGGTAAATGGGCGGAGTTTCCGAGAGGAGATTACGGCCTGTGTCTGGATCGTGCGCTGGATCATACAGCTGGACATCGTGAATCAGACGCGGCGCTGTCTTCCCTGCATGATTGATAGAAAATATGGTAAGCTTTGCTCAAATTGAATTCCATATTTGCTGATCTAGACTGTCGCCTTACCGGCCCTCTGTACAGACGCCATGAAGTACAGTGTTCGGGCCTGAAGGCCTCACACAGTTCGGATCTTCGTCTTGATGCTATGGGAGATATGGTTCTCCTAAAGGGTTTATTCTCATTGAAGGTCACAAAAGCGCACAATGTAACAGATCAGCTGTGATAACAATATGGTCAAATGATGAAATCGCCACTGTATGCGGAGAGACAGCGGGGAGCCCACTGCACTTAGCAGCAAGCAGTGGCAAGCTTTGGAACTCTCTCCTCAACAAGATGCACAATTTTGAGATCAAGATTCACTCTTATAAAACAGCAAGCAGTGTGCAAGAAGATTCTCAAAAAGAACAAATGAAACAAAGGGTTCGATGTGAAAGAAGCATCAATATCATCATGTAGAGCTCCGTTGGAATGGCGGGCGGTGGCGGTCAGAAATGGCAGAAAGCCGACTCCAAAATCCCAACGCCAACTACATCCAATGCCGGAAGCAGTCCATCCCTGCTATCACACACACATCATGGCGCACCACGATGAAGACCACAGCTACCACCCCAAGGATGCCATTTCGGCAGCCATAAAGGCCACCGCACTCACCGGAACTGTCGGTCTCTTCGCAGCCGCAGTGCAGAACACGCTCACCAAGCAGAACGTCGGAACTCTGGGCGTCTTCGTCCGTGGCGGTGGCATCATTACCACCTTTGGTATGAGCTTCTTTACATCTACATTAATAGATTCCAATTGCTAAACTAGACAAATTACAGCGGCCATGGGTGGTACCTATGAGTTCATCAAGACCGCTTCCGCTAACTTGCGCGAGAAGGAGGACTCCTACAACGTCGCTCTGGGTGGCTTCTTCTCAGGTGCCATTCTTGGTCTCCGAGGTGAGTTTTGAATTGAATGGAGTCTGCGATTATGCATTAGGAGCTAACAATTCGGTGTACCTCAGTTCGCACACTCCCCGCTGTGCTCGGATACGGTATCGCCCTGTCGTCCGCTATGGCCGGCTTTGAGTACACCGGTGGCACCCTGTTTGGATATAAGCGGGATGCATCTGTGGACGAGTTCGACCGCCGGACAGCGCTGCGCAAGGCATTCCAGACTCCCGGAGAGCAGACTATCTCGGAAGTGGGTGAAGGACGTGGTATGTGCCTTTTATCTGGGCGGCGGTATTGTCTACCGTTACTAATTTCACTAGGTATCTACGGCCCTGGCTACGAAGAGAGACGCCGGCAGCGTATCAAGGAGGCTTACGGCATTGAGGTTCCCACATCCCCAGTTCCTGCATCATAAGCCTGCATTCCTCTCAATCCGCCCTTCCCCGTTGCTTTGTGTAAATTTACCCCCCTATCCCCGTATCACGCTGTCTATCGCATGGACACACCCATCCGATTTGAGTTCTTTGAGTCTCCAGGAAATTCAAAACCATACACATTTCGAGTTTGAACCAACATAGGATTGTGCCCTAGGTACAACAACTAGGCTGTGGATACCGACCTGATAGTCCAGGGCACTCTATCTAATATAGCCTACAAGACCCAAAGAATCATCGCATGGAACTCAACATCAAATAATCTTGAAGTGGGTATGTGCCACCTTGGTGTTCATCAACAGTACTCCAAGATGAGGATTTCCCCGGACCACCCGGAAGCCAATGAGAGCGCATGTATTTCAAAACGAGTGGAATGCTTCGAGATGCTTTCCAGAGCAGCATATAATCACGATGAGTCCCGGATCATTTTGTGTAAAATAAGTTACAGTAACACTGTCATCTCGAGAAGCGTTCGGTTCCCAAAGCCTAGCCTTGAACTAGCCCCCTCCCGACGCCCTGAGCAACCATGAACGCTCACCCCTAATGCTCTAGCTGTCCACGTCAGCCCCTCGCTCTTACGATAAACGCTTGCTCTACAGCCGTTCCTAGGAACTATAGAAAAGAAATGACCTGGTCTCATATTGCTTCTACTTTCTAGCGCTTATTCTCGAGGCTCATCGCCTGACGAGCATGATTCGCCAATCTGCATGGAAAAAAGAATTTGCCATGAACTCACACTCTGCTGATGTTGCTTCTTTCACAATGATGCATCACTAGCTTGATGGCTCAAAAAATTTTAGTCGCGCCCGGGATCGAACCGGGAACCTTCTCGGACCTTGATGTGAGCGAGACGCCATGACCATTAGGCCACGCGACTTTAGACGATGATTTGGGGCAAGATTGTTTCTATGACCCAAAGGTGTCTTTTCAAACCTTGTTTTATTCATCAGGAGCAAACTGACATTTTTTTACCTTGTAGAAACAGATGGGAATTTTATCAAGTGACCTATATGCGTGACAAGAATATGTAGGGCACCCTGTGAAGGATGATTAACAACAAGTCGCGTGGCCTAATGGTCATGGCGTCTCGCTCACATCAAGGTCCGAGAAGGTTCCCGGTTCGATCCCGGGCGCGACTAATATTTTTTGAGCCATCAAGCTAGTTACTGCACTGCAATGTACTTTATCTTTGCTCTACTTTTGTTGTACGAAAATCTACTAATTCGTAGAGACGGCTAATTATAGCATTTCGCATAAGCTCAACAGCCAACCGAGTGGCAATAGTACAATCTGCAAGTAGTCTATTCTTACCTGTACCTCTTCTACCCGAGTAGCCCACACGATGTAGTCCTCGATGAGATGTGTGACTGCACTGGCAATGCCAATTTTCTCTTGAAGTTGAAAGCGATTTTCAGGAACTTCTTCTCGATGTTACGGTTATTAATCAAGTCGCGTGGCCTAATGGTCATGGCGTCTCGCTCACAACAAGGTCCGAGAAGGTTCCCGGTTCGATCCCGGGCGCGACTATTCTTTTTTGACTTCGTTGCGTGCACAACGTGTTGTCTACCCCTAAGCCAACCAGCTAGTTAGTCGGCAGAGCTGCGATAAGCAATAGACTGTAAAAGACACACTCGTTAATCTATCAACCGAAATATCCAACGATGACTCATTCTGGCTGCTGCCAGATAATGCGCCGAGCAGATCCTCTGCTTATGTAACATTGGAAAGGCTCGTAAGAAGGAGCTTCAGATCGAGAATCCACCCATGGCATGGTTCACTATGATTTGGTGCAATATTAATGGGTCTTGCCAAATTAGATTTTTGGTGATGTACGAAGGGGATTCACTGCATTTTGATGTTGATGCTGCTTGGTGGGCAAGTGTACAAATCAGACCTTCCTAACCTACAAACCGGGAGCGAGTGACGAAGACGCAAAAATGTCTAGAGAATGAATGTCAAATTAATCCTAAATGCCTATGATGACCACCAAAGCAATTCTATCGGTCCCTAAAATCCATTCGGCGAGACTCAACTATGCAACACGGAAATCAAAGTCTGAACCCAAACCCAGTGTGGACCACATTGTTTCGAACGTAAGTCTTGGAATTAGCTTCTTGCAAATGTGGAAGCAAGTCCAGATTTAGGAATGAAGAGAACCCAATTCCCAGAATAGCTTCTCGGATGACTGTCAGGTCGATGCCCCAGTAAAGCTGTGTGATCTCAACTACGATTGTTCTCCGCAATACTTGTCGGAATTTTTACTGCGCGAAATATCTGGTTGGTTAAGATCAGTAGGGTATTTATCAAACGAAACGTTATTGTATCAGCAGCTCTGGCGAAGAACTCGACAAAAATACCAACAGTGTTGCGACAAGTCCAAGAGAACCCATCGAGATATCGCTCAATAAGATGGATATAGAACCTCCGGTACTCATTTAAGAATGATTTCCAAATGGAATCTCAGTGCCTCGGATTTAAAATGGCCGCCGGAATTGTTCCTCACGTCGGCACATGATGTCAATAGACGTCCATCAATCTTTCTTGGCGACCTCAATATCACGTGGAGCAGCTCGGACCTCTACTTACAGCAGCCGAGAGGGAAAGGGCAATGTGGTACGCACGAGCGGAACCAAACGAAGATGTAGTTCGAAAGAGCCGAGAAAAAAAAATTGTAATATGGTCAAGGACCAAATTCCCAGTGCCTTCTAGCTCCCCAGATACCGACGTCATGCACTGTTCATCACTGGATGATCAGGGGGGGGGGAGTATACCTATCATTCCCCCTTTTATTCTTTTTACTCTGAGCCAACAGATCAAAATGGATTATGTTCACTAGAGGATGTAATAATCTTATTCTAGTTTTTGCTCCTTTTCACAACTTAGGGGAGTCCCTCAGCCACTTTCCCTACAGGCAACCATTTAAATTATAGGAGTCCCCTTTATGTTACTATGTATAGCGTGAACGAGAAGGAATAGAATACTTCAGACGGCTTTTTATTCCGATCCAGTACGTCAACCATGAATATAGAAGATAAACTAGAAGTCAGATGGATTTCCCCCTCTCTTTATCCCGGACATCCCGAAAACCCAGTTTCTTCCAAGGTCGTCACCATCTCGCATCTCGTAGACGTCATCGTAAGAAATTCCTTAACCTTCAGTTCCCTGCCCTATATTGAAGCCTCTGATCATTCTCCTTTTTTTTTCCCATACTGAGTGGGGCAATCTTATGCTTTTGTGCCTCCCCCGCATACAATTTGCTGCGTTCGCCAGGTAACCAAAAAAGACGCCACTTTAGATGAACTCTTGGAGCTATTATCCTTGAGTCTCGTCTTTTTCTCTTTCCTTTTTTTTTGAAAAAATTTTAATTTTTTTCTTTCCAACCTTCGTTTAAATTCCAATCTTTTACTTCAATACTTATTCTACGAAAGCCATATAAACCACAAATCCCACGTTTCTCGCAGATATGGCGATGGCCGCACGGCCACAGACGCCCTCACAGGACACATACATAATCCCGCAACCCAACGATTCGGGGGCTTTAAGTCGCGGGTACGGCCCGCGGTCTACTCTATCACGACCGAATTCCTTCGCCGGTATATCAGCATGCCACTACGGCTCCGGTGCCGTCGAGTCGTCGCGGGCCCCTCACAACCCCCGGTTTAAGGAGGACTTCGATACCGTCAGTCACCGCAACTCGGTGTTTGAGAGCCCTGCTGGCATGCAGCGGTCTGCCTCCACCATGTCCCACGTGCGCTCCACGATCCCTTCCCGTTCGAGCACCTTGCGGAAAAAAGCCTCGCTGAGCAATAAGGGGAGCCTGCGGCGCAATGGGAGTCGGAGAAGCCTGCGCGCGGGAAGTGTGCGGAGCCTGAGCTTGGGTGATCGCGAAAAGTATCACACCGATGGTTCGGACGATATCAACAGTGCTTTCGTGACTCCGATCCCTACCAACGGTAACCCGACCGAGGTGCTGGCGAATCGGTTTGGAGGTGGGCTTTACTCTGTCAATGCGCGGGTCATGAACATTCTACTAACTGTTATTGTTTAGCTTGGCGCAAGATCCTGAAGGACTTGATTATCTTTTTTAAAGAGGTCCAGAAATCATACGAAACTAGAGCGAAGCTGTTCCTGTCCGCTTCGAGTGTCGTCAGTAACCAGACCCTTCCACCGGGGTTGCTTCAATCGGGTGGCCTGGCCGATGCGACGGAGATCCTCCAAAACTTCCATCGACAGGGTTATACCGAGGCCAACAAAGCTGTCGAGGTAGAGATCGAGGTGATCAGCCAATTGACTGGTCTCCGCAGCGATCTCCAGAAGAAAACCAAGGAGATCAGGAGTCTTGCGGGTGATTTCAAGAACACCGTCGAGAAGGAGATCGACGGCACGCGCAGATCTGTACGGAACTTGCACGAGGCTCTTGGGCTTGTCGATGCCGATGCCTCTGCGATATCGGGCAAAGGTGATCCATTCATCCTGCGCTTGAATGTGGAGAAGCAGGTCGAGAAACAGATCGAGGAGGAGAACTACTTGCATCGAGTTTGTGCCGACTTCCCCCCCTGCACTAGTTGCTTATCTAATTTTGCTCCTATAGGCATTCTTGAACCTGGAGAACTCTGGTCGTGAACTGGAGGGGATTGTTGTGAGCGAGATCCAGAAAGCATACAATGCCTATGCTAGCATCCTTCGACGCGAAGCCAATGAAGCTCTTGACACCGCCGAGAAGCTCCAAGCGGGTCCAATATCCATGCCCCAGGATCACGAGTGGAACCAGTTTGTCGCTGGCACAGCAGAGCTCGTCGATCCTCGAGTTCCTCTCCGGGATGTGGAGAGCATCACCTATCCTGGCAAGGGCCATCCAGCAGCTGCCGAAGTCAGGGCTGGGATGTTGGAGCGCAAGAGCAAGTACCTCAAGAGTTATACTCCGGGCTGGTAAGTGCCCCTTTTCCCGCGCGGTATTAAGCCCATGTCTAATCAACTCAAGGTATGTTTTGTCGCCGACGCATCTCCACGAGTTCAAGTCGGCGGATCGTGTAGCATGGCAGACGCCCGTCATGTCGCTTTATCTGCCAGAGCAGAAACTCGGCTCCCACTCACAGGAAGACTCAAGCTCTCACAAATTCATGTTGAAGGGTCGACAGACTGGCACAATGCACCGAGGCCACTCATGGGTCTTCCGGGCCGAATCTCACGATACCATGATGTCCTGGTATACAGATATCGAGGGCTTGAGCAACATGACAGGAGAAGCACGAAACGCCTTCGTCCGTCAGCACGTCCGCAACGTGAGTAGCATGTTTGTGAACAACGAGGTATTGGAAGACGATGAAGCCGATCGCACTCCATACTCCGCGGGATCCGCGGTCATGACTCAAGACCGACCCGTATCCTCTCGCCAAGCTGGAGGTGTGTTTCCCAGCGACGTCCAGCTTGACCGGAATCTCCAGGCTCCCTTGTCACCTTCCAGCGAGGACAGCTCCGCCGGCAGAGACACGCTAGGGGCTGCTGGATCGTACCCTGATGGGTCCAGTGCATTTGATGAAAGCTTACGATCAGTGGGTAGCCGCGACGTAGACAACTCCTACCAAAGCTACCGGTCCAATGAGGGGATCAATGAAAGTTCTCTCCCCAAAGGTACCCCACACAATAGCTACTATGGCAACTGGATCGGACCGTCCGTGGTAGTGGCGAAGCAGAGGAAGAGGCAGAGCCAGCAGTTGGAACCCTCGAACCCGGATGACCGCGAGATCCGATCTGATGGAGACCAGGCTTCCCTTGCTGCCATTTCGGGTGTTGGTATGGCTGATCGTCGTGATCACTCAGCTCCTGCCCACATTGATCGTCGGGGTAGTGTCTCTACAGCGCCTACTAACACCAACGTGACTGAGTTTACAAACCATACCAATCCTACCTCGGTAGATGATCAGGAGCTTGAGCCCCCTAAGATCCAGACCCTTGGTCTTGACACTTCTCCTATCAATCAAGGTCCTGAATCAGACAGTGCAGCCAAGCTTCCACCCAACTTGATGCGTTCGAATACAGACAACAGTGTTACACTGGACATGAAGATGCCAGGTCGTTATCCTCACACCAATGTAGCAGCATAGGTCCCCCCACCCCATCCTCACCTCCACGTTTGCCTTATTTTTCCTTTTTTTTTGAAACCCTATCTTTTCAATTTTTCCTAAATTTTCTGTACATGCACCACTCCTTGCCCCTCATGCAACTCGTCCTTGTCCGTTCAAGGCGTGTGTGATCCTCTCGTTGGGACAGTTTCCACGCAAGTCCCGTCTCTCCCACAGCATACCAGTCATGCTGCATCGGCGTTCGTTTTATCGGCAGGATGTGGCGCAGGGGCATTCTTCGCTTCCCAATTATTTGTTTCATGGATTGATTCTTGATTCCCAGTGCTGGGCACTAAGCACCCATTTCTTTCATTTTTCCGGGGGGAGGACTTCCTGTTCGAGGGGTTTTTTTTTTAATTGAAGTCTGGTGCTCTTTTTAGAGAAAAAGATGCAAATGAACATGTCCCAGTTGAAAGTATTGTAGTATTTCCGACATTGTGCAGATCATGGCCATTTAGTAACTGAAATACGCTTTACAACCAGTCATGAGCTCTGGTTTGTACGGAAGTACATGTATGCTTGGTGCTGTTGAGATGCACGATAAGAGCGATAAGGCTAGTCTGTATGGTCAGGACCTACATAATGCACATCTAGTTGCAATCCATGAATCATAATTTAGGGTTATTGTATTCCATGGAGAATCAGAAAGGAAACATATGTCTACTTGTCGGTTGACAGCTTCATCTCTACTACCATTACAGCTACATCGATGTATACAAGAAGATCTCAGCGACACCCCGAGGCGGTGACGAGTTTTGCCCGAGTTGTCCAAGTACATATCGGAATTCTGTATTTTCTTCTCTCCATGATATTTCCCTCCCAAGAGTCTTTGATAGGATCCGGACTCCAAAGAACAACTCCTCTTTTTGTCCCTTCTTCCTCATCTACTCCTCCTCCCCTTCTCTACCTTTGTACCACATTCAACTTCTTACCTTCACGCTCCATCGAGCCCCGGAATCATGGGTAGGTTCTTCGTGTCCTCTTGAATACACTTTTCTTTTTCGTATCTTTGTATTACTCGTTTGTTACTCTCATCCGCCTGGTACACTCGAAGGTCCCCGGTCATTTCATGCCTTCGCCCAATCACCGTGTCTTGTTTCCCCCCCCCCAAATGATTGAACCTTGACGCCTGATCCTTTCATCTTCCCCCCGCTTCCTCTCATTTCCCTATTTCTTCCTATCTTTTGATTTTTTTTTGAGATTCTCCGCTGACAGCCTCATCCGCCCAGCCGACGTCTATCGACCATACCAAGTAAGTTTACCGATAACCCCCGTTTTCTTTTTTCCCCTTCCCATTTCCCGACGATTATACAAACTGTTCCAACGTTGCGCGTTGGTTTGAGGTCTATATCAATGATCGCAAAAGTGTGGTCAGTGCGGGGGTGGAAACCGCCATGTCTGTTCGATCAGAGATCTTCCAGATCTGGAGATCTGTGAACATGAAGTGGAAAGGGGAACCACTTTCCCATCGCATTGTTTGATTTCCCCCCCCAAAAAATTAAATGCAGATGTGTGCGCAAACAACGATTTGCCAGTGGCTCCAAGCTCCTACTCCGGAGGTCCTCAGTGCATCTGAGACAAACACCCCCTCAAAAGCTGATGGTCACCTGACCCACGCCGAGGACCCGGACCCCCCTCGGAGTTGCGCCTTCCACGGTAGCGACTGTCCTCTGAACACGTCTTTCGCTTCTTCTCATCTCCATTTCATCAAAATAAAAATATTGCCCCGCTTTCGCGATCGTCTTTCTTAACTACTTTTTCATGTCTGACCACATCCAGCGTGAGAGGTCTCGCTCGCCCCGTCGTCGTTCTTCTCGCAGTCCTCCTCGGCGTACCCGTCGTTCGTACTCCCCTCGCAGTCGTTCCCGCAGCCGTGGTGAGCGTGACGAATACCGCCGTCCCGAACGCCGTTCCCGATCCCCTTTGAGTGCATCCGGAGCAGCAACTGGACCCCCAGGCTCAGGCTCTCCTTTCGGTGGACGCAGTGGATACCCCCCCGCTCGATTTGAGGACCGCACCGTCGCCAAGGAGAATATGATGCAGACCGTTCGCGATTCGTCCCAGCAAGACCGCCGGGTCTATGTGGGCAACCTTTCGTATGATGTCAAGTGGCACCACCTTAAGGATTTTATGAGACAGGGTGAGCAGGGTTGCGCATTTGGAATGGTGATTTGCTGGACTGTTTGAAGCTGACCGGGGCTGTGATCTCGTGTTTTACAGCTGGAGAAGTTCTCTTTGCCGATGTTTTGCTTCTTCCTAATGGAATGTCGAAGGTGGGCGCTTACATGTAGAGGGGCTAGCTCCTTCTATTTCCCCCGATTTTCGTGGTTTGTGTAGGGTTGACGGGTGGACATTGGCTGTCCTGATATTGTAGGGATGCGGGTGAGTACTTTCTGATCTTTCTTGAAATTGAACGCTTTCACTGACAGGTCCTCCAGGATTGTGGAATATGCAACCAGGGACCAAGCACAAAACGCCGTGAATACGCTCAGCAACCAGAGCCTGATGGGTCGCCTTGTTTACGTTCGTGAGGCATGTCTCCGCAAAGTCTATGGTGTCGCTATTACGTGATTACACTGAACTAACCTCAGTCCGCAGGACCGTGAATCCGAGCCCCGCTTCGTTGGTGGTCCCCCACGCGGTGATTTCGGCCCCGGTGCCCGCGGTGGATTCGGAGGTGGTGGTTTCGGAGGACCCCCAGGTGCAGGTGGTGGTGGCCGCCAGATTTATGTCTCAAACGTTTGTTCCCTTCTTTTTTTACTCCCCCCCCGTTACGCTAAGTTCTGGCAGGCCTTGTTGACCCTTAGGTATAGCTTCCTTTCAACGTTGGCTGGCAAGACTTGAAGGATCTGTTTCGTTCAGCTGGTAAGTGCATATCAAAAATCCCCTTGAACTGGGATCCCTACTTTTCAGCCTAGTATGAGGTGAATTGACCCAGACTCTGTATTACAGCCCAGCAGGGTGCCGTCATTCGTGCCGATGTGCACACCGACCCTACCGGACGTCCCAAGGGCTCTGGCATTGTTGCTTTCGAGTCTCCTGATGATGCGCGTAACGCCATTGCGCAGTTTAACGGATATGATTGGCAGGGTCGTCCTCTTGAAGTTCGTGAAGATCGTTTCGCTGGTGGTGGCCCTGGCTTCGGTGGTCGTGGTGGCTTTGGAGGTGGCTTTGGCGGTCGTGGCGGCTTTGGCGGTCCCATGGGCCGTGGAGGCTTTGGTGGTCGCGGAGGCTTTGGCGGCGGATTCTCTGGACGTGGCGGCTTCGGTGGTCCCCCTGGTGGCCACGGTGGTTTCCCCGGTGGATTTGAGCACGGCGGTGCTCCTCCTGTTCCCTCTGGACCCCCCAACCCTTTCACTGATTATGCCACTTCCAACGGCGAGAAGAGTGCTGTTATCTATGTTCGCAACGTAAGTTTTAGGATGTGCAATGACAAGCACATGGAATGTGGAATGCTAACTCGAACCCAGTTGCCCTGGTCTACTTGCAATGAGGACTTGATCGATCTGTTCTCCACTATCGGCAAAGTTGACCGCGCTGAAATCCAGTATGAGCCCAACGGCCGCTCCCGCGGTACTGGAGTTGTCCAGTTTGATACTCCTGACACTGCTGAAACCGCAATTGGTACGTTTTCGTTTGTATTGCATTGCCATTCCCACATACTAATGCCCTTCTCCCACAGCCAAGTTCTCTGGCTACCAGTACGGTGGTCGTCCTCTAGGTATCACCTTCGTGAAGTACATGAACGTTGCTTCGGGCTCCGAAGACATGGAAGGTCAAGAGTCGACCGTCGGTCTGACCCAGGACCAGATCATGTAAAGCACTTTCGTCCTTGTTTTACCTAGTCACTTTCATTGACAGGGGGGCGTCTGGCTATTTTCTTTTCGCAATTTCTTGATTCATGATTCCCTTATTCCCATTTCAGTTCTTTCGGGACTTCGTCCTTGCAAAATGGGTTTCGAGTGCCCCTTTGGGCTGATCAAATGCTTCTCAAATGGAATGTGCCTTTTATTCCAGTGCTTTGTTTTGTAGGTTTTGTAGTTCCTTTGTTGATCTGGAAACTCGTCGGTTAGTTTCCTGCGGTAGGGGGTGTTGTTCTATGTTGTAGGGGCTTGGACTTTCGTTTCCGGTAATTTTCTTGTCTCTCAAGGTTTGACGTCAAGTCGTTCAAATCGCCATCGCGTCCTCCGATCCATCTCGTTTGATCGATATTTTGCTCGGAACAGAAGAAGGATCTGGAAACTGCTCGGATTTTTTGGATTCTAGCGCTTTTATACGGAGAACAGAGCTACCGGTTTGTCTCTCCCCCGAGGTCCTCAGCTTGACAGAACAAACAGGTATAAATATGGCTTTCACGCTTTCACCGCTACTCTGGACACTACACTTGTATCTCTAGTGTAGGACCTACTACTATTACAAGCATGCTAGTAGGATTATCTGACCACATCCTACGTTGTTGTCTACATAAAAGTGTGGTCGAGTGAAGCTTGGAGAAGCTCATCTTTCGTATGTGTCCCATACTCTATTTTAGAGCTGCCTGTGGGCTTTGTACAACTATAAGCTCGATTCAAATTAACCTTAGAATCTATTCTATATAAACCGCAATCAAAACAGACGTAAATCAGGTATGATACCACCGAATCCATTCGGATCTTATACTACCCCCCAGCGCACAGACCAGCCTCCCAATCCATCTCCAACCATCACGTCTTCACACATACCTCTCCATTGGCTCCCCCAACCTCACCAAAACCATGGCCTACCTCGCCCGCGCTCTCCCGAAAAGGGTCGTCACCCCATCCCTAACTCAATCCATCCGCCAAACCCGAGCACTAAGCACACCAACCCTCCAATCCACACCAACAACCCGCACTCCCCGAACAAATCAAAGACACCCCCTCCCCCACCGAACCTACCACTCAGCCCTGCACGGCAGGCTCCCAGACCACTCCTACACAAACTCCCAAACAGCAATCCTAACCGCCGCACTCACCCACGTGCCCACGCACGGCTTCTCGGCCACAGCACTAACCCTCGGCGCGCGGGACGCCGGCTTCCTCGACGTCTCGGTGCAGCTACTCCCGCGTGGCGAATTCGACCTTGTACTCTTCTGGCTTGCTAGTCGACGGGGTCTGTTGCGTGGGAAGGTCGAGGAGGGCGGGTTATTCCGGCGCATTGCGGCGGAGAAGGGGAAGGATGTTCATGAGCTTGGTGTTGAGGAGAGGGTTAGAGGGTTGCTTTTGGAGAGGTTGAGAATGAATATCGAAGTTAAGGATGTTTGGCAGGATGTGAGTTGTCTGTTTCCTCCCCCCCCCTCTCTTTTGAAAGGATCTAGATGCAGATGGAGATTTCCCATACTAATCCACGGTTTGATAGGCTCTCGCGCAGATGTCGCTTCTTGCTAATATCCCCCTCTCTCTTACGGAACTGCATGCCCTTGCGTCGGATATTCTTGCTTTGTCTGGTGATGACGCTGTCGATGCGACTTGGTACACGCGCCGTCTTGCGGTCTCGGCTATATATGCCAGTGCTGAGGTTGTTATGACCCGTGACTCGACGCCGGATCTTGTGGAGACGGCTGCGTTTGTGGAGCGCCGGTTTGAGGATCGGAAGGCGATTGCTGATAAGATTACTGGCATTGGACAGTGTGCTGGGTTTGGGTGGAATACCGCTATTGGGCTGGGGCGAAGCTGGGGGTTGAAGATTTGAGGTGATTTTCATCTTTCGCATCAATGGCCAGCTTCTAGTCGAGGTCGTCCAGGGAAGTTAACTGAAGCAAGTTTTGCTTGGTAGGAGATGGATTTGTACTTATATTCAAATTGGTTTATTATTGTAAACTACTCCAATCTTGTCAGCGAAAATACTCTATTATGTTGTTCTGGGATCCAGTCCTCGCTGGTGTCCTCACCAATATCCATGCCATGCAAAAATAACTAGAGACAGATCCTATCATGTCCCAATCTGCTCGCCCGAACAGCCACGCTTGATGCCAAAAAAATCTCAAAATGAGCCGAGGGCAAAGAATATATCTAATAACGAAAAACAAGGGAATTAAAACAAAGCGAGAAGCAACTATTCATGCAGAGAGACATTCTGCACTGCCTCCTCTACACTGAGAGTCGCATGGTTGTCGACAGCACCATCGGCTGGGCCATCCACCTTGTCTGCAGTAGCCTCAGACGGTGACATCAATAGAATGGGAGACTTCGGCGAGAACGGGTCTGAAACAACACTGGCCTCTGGTGACAGTTCTAGCTGAGCAGATACGGGCGTATTTTCAGCAGTCTCGGATTCTTTTGACGGACTAACACTGCTGGCCCCGCTCTCGACCGAGTCACTCTGTCCGTGCTGCGGCTTGCCACGTCCCCAGCGGCGCGCTTTTGGCGGAAGTGGAGCCTGCCCATGTCGGCCCATTCCGGCTGTTGGAACTACTGGCCGGTGGTGACTTGAGGAAGGTGTGTTATGGCTGGAACGACGTGGTGGAGGGAGGGCAGGGGGTGGATTTGATGCGGCCCGCCGCGGCCGTGAATCTGGGGGTGCAAGAGTAGAACCCGACCCGGAATCGCGGTGATCAGTAGTAAGTGTCTGTGACGGCAGTGTGCTGGAAGTCAAGACGGTAGTAGGACTGACTTCGACGCCTTCGGAGATTGTCTGCCCGTCGCTGCTTGTGCCAGTAGAGTGAGGCTCTTCTTCATCCACGGCCAGACGGCGCCCGCGCCCGCGCCAGCGGCGAGATTTTGGGGGCTCTGGTTTGACCTTGGATGGTCGCATTATTGGTGTCTCGTCACTGACAGGGGCGGCAGGGACTCTGTCTTTGCGACTGGGGGTTATTATGCCTGGTTTCTCGTGCTGTGCTGCAACGGCCTGAACGCTTAGTGAAGACGCGGATGCGGGCTCGAGATTCATGCCGAGCCGGTGGATTGAGCTGTGTTTCCGAATCTCTGCTGCGTCGGACGAACTGTATGAGTCCATTCGCGTTGGTGATGTTGTATCAGGCGAGCTAGCAATTGCGCTTGATCGCGAGAGTGTGCGGGAGATGTCGAGCTGTTCACCGATGTCTATAGTTGACGCATGCTGCTCGCCTTGATCCAAAACAGTCTCAATAGTAGCCGTTGTCGCTTGAATGGGAATCTCTTGCGTTTCTGCTGCGTCGGGAGGTTCGTCATTACGCAGCCAATCCACCGTCGCACACCGAGCGACAAGTCGACGTGTCGTTTCATCAACCTCTTCAAAATGTATAATTTTCTCATGCTCTGTGTCACTCCCATATGAGACTTGACCCCGAACAAGAATGCTGAGTAGTCTTCGAAGTCCATCACGCTTGTAGTGCGGCGGGTCTCGTAGCTGTGTATGAGCTAGAAGCGGGTAAAGAACACGTAGGTAGGTATGTCGCAGTGCAGAGGCCTCCTCGGGTAGATCAAGCAAATTCCGGATCAAAATATCGACCAGAACATGTAGATCGTTCGTAAAGAAGTACTCATATGTGCTAGGGGTGGTAAATATGAGATAGAGAAGCTTCAATGTGAGCAACTGGAGGGATGTCTCGGCTGCACGTTGTCAGTCATCGGTTTTATTGAGCAGGAGGATTGCCTGATACCTTCACGGTTGATAAGAAGAATGATGTTCTCCCCGAATGTCTTATACATCCCACCATACACGGATAGGACCTTGATGACCTTGTTGGTCAAGTGAGCAAAGGGCCGGCCGTCCACCGGATCGTGGGCTGAGATCATGAACTGCTCGTTCAGAACCAGCTGTGCAATTTGTCAATCCCATTCCAATAAAGAGCCCGAGCAAGTACTCACCAGCACCCGAATCACGGGGTAATGATACGGATCGGTAACATCGTCAGAGAGATCTTCGATGATATCAAAAAGACAGCGAATGAAATCGTCATCCACGAGAACTGCACACAAGCCTCATAATCAGCTATCAGTAGCAGCAAATCTATATCCTAAACGCACCCAAGTCTTCGATTTTGACCCTCTGTATCCTGGACATCTCATACACAAGGTCCATCAACAAGCGATGAAGACCCGCGTCGCCATCTAGATCTGCCCTCCGCATCGCCTGTATCAGCTCGAGAAGACGTGCAAAAGCGCCCTCCTCATTCAGCATCTGAAGCACAGCTTCATTCTGTCGTCCGTCAAAGAGGATGAATGACGCAATGAAGAGGAGTGTAGTCGGGTCATCGTCCTGCAAGAGACCGTAGAGAATCTGTCGTCGCACGTAGTCCGCATGTGAAGCGAAAATACTCGACGTAAAAAGCTTGTAGGAACAGCGGGAGATATCTGTTTCCGACCGGAGGTATTCATCTAGAGAAGGGTGGGCTAGTTAGTCGCAGTGAAAACAAAGCTGGGGGCGGACGTGGCGCTGCACAGGGGAGTGTGTTGGGGTAGAGACATTGCTTCTCGGAACCTGGCGTGTCTTTTACCTTTGTGTTGAGATGTTAGACTAAGATAAGCTCGGAGGGCGTCGTCAATCTCGTCTTCGGAGTCACAGGGCTTGGAGACGATCGTTTGAAGTTCTGTGAGAGCCGGTCAATTGTCACGTCGCATCATCTTGAAAGGAGAAAAGAAGTTGAGAACAACATACCAGACCAGAACTCAGTCTCCGAGACCTCAGGCTCCATTTCCCGTCAGACAGCTCATGCCGGTTTGTGTGCCGATTTGAAGAGTTGGAGAGAGTTGAAGGGCGGGGGCTTGGGGGAGGGGGGAGTTCGAGAGTTCCACTGCGGGTCAACCTCCAGGAACACACTACGTTTGCCTACTTCGAGGTTCAGGGGACTACCAGGTACGTGTTATAGAAGAAAGGACTTTCATTTGGTATCAAAATGCAAAACACAATTATGCCACGGGGCGCAGGAATGGATGCGCTTCGGTGTTCCTGTAAAAATTAGCTGTTGGACAAGTGTTGTTTACGGGCTACGTCAATCACTTACAGAACATATTTATCCAAGTCCACGACATTGGGGTCGCTGAACAAAAGGTAGAAGTACTTCAACGTTTCACAGAGCCAGAAAGACTCCATCGTATCCTTATGGATCGGTTTCTGGGCTGTGACATCGTGGATGGCCGCGTTGGCCAGATCCGTTCGGGTATACTTCGAGATGGCCTCGAACATCTGCCATCCCTTGCGACGCCAAGATTCGTCCCCAGTTAAGCGATACATAATAAAAACAGACTCGATCGCCTCGGGCCGAAGGTAGTAATTTGGCGATGGGATACTGGTCATGCCTGTTTGGAGGTGGTCTTTGCCGACTTTGGCGATGTGAGGTGAAGCGGGCGATGAAGTTGAACGAGGTGCATCTCGGTTCTGCAGTTCAGCTTCACCGAGAGTCGGAGTCGAGATTGAAGCAGGAGACGATGATTTCGCGCGCTCTTCTAATAGGACTCCGTTACGCTTGACCAACACATCGCTATCGTGAGGGTTTAAAGAGCCCGGCATGGGGATGGGAATCGACCCGCTCGCAGGTCCTTGCGGCGGATCGTGCGCAATCATATTCACGCGCTGTTCGTAGCTGCTCTCTCCATTGCGGAACGAATGTCCTGCCCCGGGGTCCACGCGCGAGTAGCGTGCCACGCCGGTCTCAAAGAGGGTTTGATCCCACTCACAGTCTGAGCCTTTCTCACAGGGCAGAAGGCGGAAGCGTTCAGGCATGATTCCGGTTTGAGTGGACTCGTAAGCCCAAACACAACCCTCGGTCAGTTTTGCTGCGAGTTCCAGATCACCATCGATGCCAAAGGCCTTGGCTCCTATGGCGAACATCCCGCCGACAAAACATGCCAAGTGAGTACCTTCGTATTCAAGATCAGTGGAAGTGAGCTCTGCAACCTTTCCAGGTGTTATTGGGGTAGTTGATGCTATGAATCGGATATCACGTCCACCTTTAACCATGGGCTGGAAGAGAAGATGTTTGCGGGCTGCAGTGGCTGCCTTCTTGTACATATTCAAGTATTGCTCGTTCAGGCCACCCAGTAGCAGGTATTCCTTAGGCAGGTATTCGTAGGCCGAGTCAGCCATTCCTCCCATGGTGTATCCGTTATCACGAGGTGAATTGGGAAGTCTTAAGCCCCCGTTGCATTTTTCTGCTGATAACGTATTTGGCTCACGTGCCTGAATGCTAGGTTCACTTACAGCTTGCGTATCATTGGCAGGTTGGACATTTCCTTCGAGATCAGCGTTTGTGTCGCGTGCGATCAGATTTAAATAACTCTCAAGGTCTGTCGGCGCAGCGTAAGGCTTGTGGGTCATCGTAGTAGTGCTCCTGGTCGTACTAGCGGCGTGTTGCTCGCGCGTAGGGCTGTTATCACGCGGGGGAGTGTTCTTGGAGTACTTGGAACATCCCTGTGCATTGACCCGTAGAGGCCACAGTCCAGGGATGCTCGTTGTGTCTTGAATTTTCTCCAATTCGTTGGTAATCCGTGCAATCGCATCATAGTATTTGTCCTGATTGGTTAATTGAGCCAAACGGGTAAATTCCAAGGAAAGCGACCCAATTTCAGCCAGGCCAGCCCGGGAAGACGCCCGATGCGGTTTCGAAGCATATTCTCTGAGAAATTTTGGTTAGTTGCCGCCAATAGATGATCAGAGATGAGTTGCGGCAAGACTTACGGGGCCCAGCGATAATAAAGGTGTGGCATGCGGTTAGGTGTATCAAAGGCACCAATGAGAACCTCAGCAATCTCCTCTGCTTTCTCCAAAAGCACCGGGTATCGATGACCAGAGATGTCATAAGCACCCAAAAGACCTCCAAGATAACGGATAGTTGTCTCAAACATCGGAATATCTGCTCTCGGTGATGTCTTGAAATCAATGTTTTTGATCACATCCAAAGCCTCGGAGAATTCGTCCTTCAATTGCATAATCCAGAGAGTATCAATAGAATCAACCAATGTCGCTCCCCAGCCATTGAATGGGTCTTCAAACCCCTTTGAGAGAGGCTTGACTTCGTCATGGCCCATGGCGACCGCCTTGTAACCGTTCCAGGCATGCGTGAACTCGGCCTTGATAGTGCTAAGCCGTTGTAAACGCTCTTGCTTGTCGGAGCTCGACTCATCCTTGAACTTCGCCTGCAACTTGGGGATTTTTTTGGGCTGTTCCTTTGGCAGCTTGATTAAATTCTCTGCAGGGACGGGGAACCGTTCTGGGAACTTCCTCCACTTGGCCGTTGGAACGCCAGGCTCATGGCGCTCCGCTGCCTTTCTGCCAGCCCCTCCGTTGTCAATCTCTTCCCCGTTTGCATAATTGATATCCTCTGACGTGAGTGGTGGTAAACTGTTGGTGCTCTCCACCTTTGCCGGTTCCTTCACGGGGTCCTTTGTGGAGCCCTTCGCGGAGTCCTTCGGAGCATCGTTCATGGGCTTCTTCACCGGCGGAGGGTTGGAGGACGCATCGTCAAGCCGGCCGCTATCCTTTGAGCCACCATTGAGACCCACTGAGGAGATGACATTCTCTGGCAGTGGCGGGGAGGTGGAGCCGCGGTAGGAATCGGGAAGCACACGGTTTCTGCTCTCCTCGATGGCGGCAGCAGCGCCCGGAGTTTCAAATTTGGGTGTCGCTGGTTGATTCGGATGGGCAAGATCGGGTGAATGAGCGCCAGTAGACTCTTCAATGACTGTATAGTTCCAATCGCGTGACCGCGCAAAGTGGAAGAATGTGAAAACGACAGCGGCCGCGAATATGACCAGAACTCGGTATCGGCGAGCTCGAAACATCTCGCGATGTCACCTTTCAGGCTGTTATCTTTTTCGAGAGATGAAATTGAAGAAAGGAGAAAGGAAGAAAAACACCAAGGAGATTAGCAAAGTCCAGATGAAATCACGAGACTCCACAAAGTAAATAAAAAAGATCCACATGCGAGAGCCTCCCTATTCTATTTTGGTGTTTCTGTCTTTTACGTCCTCAGCTTCTTCCATTCCATGTCTTTTCTTTGTATTTTTCCAACTTTCTATCCCTCTTTTCTCCTAAGGGGAGTGATATATTCTACTGATTTCGACGATCCCAACTGGTCCACGACGCCTGTAAAGCCGCGGTTCTCGGGCCTTAAGGCAAACAACATAGTGGGGACTGCCCAGGCACATCTTTTTAGGGCGAATTGCCAGGGCGGTTCAACGCCGATCATTGGCCCCGGATTCCGGACCATGACTGAATTAGATGCATGCAATCCGTAAGGGTCTTCGGATTGACCTATCATCAATCAACTCTCCCGTTAATTTATATGAAAGTGCTACCTCGGTCCTAAATGTGGACCGAAAGGCTCATCTCGCATTGGGTGTGCTAGTCACCCCTGCATTATACAGCGGACGGAGATACATGACACTCTGCTTAATTCGGAGTAGGCTTACAATGGCATATCCTGGATCATTGATGTACACCTCAGAAAAGATACCCTATGTTGTAAGTTTTGGTACAAATCTCTTGATCCAGTATAATTAATCGACAAGCTGAAATGTGGATGGTGTCAGCCCCAGGGTCCCTGCTAATCCAAAAGGGGCTAGATGAACAAACATACGGACCAAAAATAGCTATTCTTAGAATAGGTGAAGAGACGAGCTCCGGTCAACTTGGACTAAAAATATATAAGCCCTCTGGAGCATGGTTTCAGCCACCCGAAATTCCAAGTTCCCATGCATTATTTCCGGGAGCCACGCCTTACGAGCACGACCAGCTCGCTGAGAAGACTTGTGCCATCTAGTCTAGTTGCAAACAGCTCAATTCTGACAGCTGAATCCAACTGCACACAGAGTAGATTGGTACTTTCCGAGATGTGTAGTGGATTAGGGCAGACGCCATGTCCGCACTGGACTGAATCATGTTCTCGGAGCCATGGAAAAGATAGCCTTGTCGGTCCAGTTATCAGCGGATATTTCTTCGTTCGGTTCTTTGTGAAACGAGTATGGTTCATTGGCATGGAGGATCTTGGTGACAACAGCGGAAACGATGGAATATGGGGATCAGGGGTCGGTGAGATGGTGTGGCTTTTTCGTCGATCTTCTCGAGATACAGCCGTATATGAGGTTAAGCATCTTGTTTAAGGTAGCTGCTAGTGTGTGTTTCTGTGGATATGAACGTGGCTTAGGAGCGAAGTTGAAGAGAAAGACGCGTCGAGAGTAATAGTGTGAACCAAAAAAGAAGGAAAGAAAGAGGAAAGGAGGGGTACTAACTTAACATGCAGGCGCGTTCATTCATGTGTCCACCCCGAAGATAAGTGCCTGATGTGCATAGGTGCATCCGCTCTTCCTATAGTACTTCTTTATTGAACTGTGAAATTTGGACTACCAACACAAGACACTACTACCTACACCATAGCTGACAAGATAGCGCAATATTAGATGTTCGCTTTAGAGACTGAACTCCGCATGAAATGGTCATATATCGTGGCTGAAGCATATAGGCTATGATCTTCCTAAAGCCTACCATTATCCTAGAAGTTGCATAGGAGAATGGATATCTATATCCCCACGTTTGTCCGTCTACCTTCGGTGTTGGCTTTCTGGAACTGCTGAATTAAGCCCAAAACACCGCCCCCGCCAGCGATGGCGTCGATATTTTCGTCTTCATCGCCCTCAGCGGGGTCATCTTCGTCTCTGCTGAGTGGGTTCATGCGCCAAGAATCGCCGAGGTGGCTGTCACTTGTGCCTGCGCCTGTACTGGAAGTACCGGTACGAGCACCGGACTGCCGTGTTGCTGAATCATGGCCGTCTTGAGACAGTGGTTCTTCATCGTCGTCGATAGAACCCGTGGACGGGTGTTTTGAGCGTCCGAGCCGGGAGCGCTGGTGCTGCTGAGGGGTGGTTCGAGCTACGGCGCGGAACCCGGTGGTCGAGGGTTGGTGGTGCGGGTCAAGAAGCATGGACGGGGCAGGAGAGCGGCGATCAAATCCTCCAATTTGCCTTAGTTTAGAGGCACCCATCGTTATTTGAGGGCTAAACGGCACACCGTAGTTGGGTCCAGTACGTGTCTGGAGATGGTCAGGGAGAGCACCGAACTCGGCTGCAGTGGGCGAGCCGAGGGTTGGTAAGGTTGGCGGTGGGTGGAATGATCGCCGGCTGGTGGGTTGATTGGTGGTACCGTAGTTGTCCAAGAATCCATAGTAGGAAGCTAGCATTTTGCCGTCTTTAGTTGAGAAGTAATCAGTGCGTAGATCCTGTTTTCCAGGTTCCCGGCGCGCGGGTCCAGCTTGGGAGAGCACATTCGTGCCCTTCTTGAAATCGAAGACGGCAAAAGAGCAAAGATAGCCCACACCATCAACATGCACGGTGAACTCCCGGAAGAAGTCAATGAGGCGGTCACTACATTTAGGCAAGCTGAACCATAGGACGAAAGGAGTGAAAATCATGCTCAAGATCTCTTCTAAGAATATCACGATCTTCATCTGATAGAGGACTGCGAATTCTTTCCGAACGTCGTCGCTATGTAAACGTCCCTTCCATCCGGACGGGAAGTAGTGTGTGAAGTCGATCAGCTCGAGGAGTGCATACTCGGGATCGAAGACATCGGTCTCTTCGGGTGCCAGCCCTCGCGCAAAAGCCCAGACTGTACCGAAAACACCAAGATAGAATAGCACAGTCCGGTCGGGCGTAATCTCAAACCCAAGGAAGAGCTCTGGGTCTATCACTGAGACAAGGGCCAACACTGAGGCAAGAGCCCCAGAAATGAAAGAAACAAACCGTGCCACTTGAACAGTCTTATCCTTGGGAAATTGGTCAACATACCGACTGGCAAATGGATAAGACATGTTGATCCGACGCTCAAAGAGATGCCAAAGCTCATTGAACTCGCGAAATTTCCATTCCGCCATAGGTGTATATTGGCGGGAACCGATTTGGCCCGGATTCTTCTTGAATTCATTGAAGTATCGGAAGAAGTAGTGCATCATAAAATAGACCACAATAAAGGGCGCTACGAAAATATTCATGACGCCAGCGAAAACAAAGCGCCGACGTAGCCCATCACTCAGCGCTCTTCGATGCGTGTCCCTGAGGAACAGGGTTCGCAGTTGGCCTTGCTCATTAAAGACATAGTCCATGACGCAAAGATTGAGATTCCATTCCATAGTTCGGGAGAACAGTTGTCGATTTTTGAGGAATGGAATAGGAAGAGTGAGATCCAAGATATCCTTGTTTACCAACGCGATCATATAGTTCTCCTTGCGCATTAGGCGGTTAGCAATGTCGTGAGCGTCTATTCGCTGCTTTGACTGGCTGCCCAGGAATCTTCGATGTTTGGTGGAAACCGCAGCTGCGGTAGATGGATTTGAGTCTCTCAACGCCATCAATCGACTGACGACTTCCTGCCAAGAAATCGTCTGGACCTCGGCATCTGAAACGCCGAGTAGGTAGAGATAGAAGTCATGCAGGTGTTTGAGCCTGCGAATGTCTAGCAGGTATTGGAAAAGCTTCCCAATCCAGAAGAAGCTAAAGAGCCACAGCAAAAATGTAGACGACCCGGACATATTCGCTGTGCATCGGGGCACAAGGATATCACCCAGAGTCTTGCTCCGCCGGACCTTAGTGTAATCAATGCAGTTGGTTAAAAATGTAGAGAAACCAACGACGAATGCAAATGTCCTGCAAGTACTATTAGCGTCTCCCACGATTCTTTGAAAAGGGTATTATCATGAACTTACAAGAGGTTCAGCACCCGGGTCAGCAGAATAGACCAAACTCCGTTCCCTAAGAAGTATATGTAGACGTCCTTTAAGAAGTTATCCAGATCCTCGACATTTGCCCACCGCCACATTGCCTTCTTCTTTGGGTCAACATTGGCAAGGCCGGGGTGCTGACCAGTGAACCAGCTCCCTATTGGATGGCCGCTTTCACTGGGCGGTGGTTGATGTACTGCTCGTTCATTCCAACGAGCTCCAGGAGGTTGCGATGATGGCCCAAGACTGGGAGTACTTCGTCTATTCGATCGGTCGTGAGACCGAGGTGGAGGAGGTAACCGTGATTTCAGGTCTTCATGGTGACCTTCTATCAGGAGAGATTGAGGGACGTCTTCGTCATGGTCATCAAGCTCATAGCCGAGAGGTGACTCATGTGCAATCCACCGAGGCTGGGACGACTTGCGACGGCGGGTGCCAGATGGAGAAGCTCGCTCTTCGGGTACCTTGCCCGACCGTGGTTGGTCGAGCAATGCAGTGCTGGGACTGATTATTTCACTGTCCTGCGCATCCGCTAGTGCTTCCTCCAGTTCCCGCTCACTGAACTGTTCCTGTTGGTCGTCTAAAACCAAGCCTGCACGTTCTTCAAGATCAGAGTACTCGGAGCCGGCGTCATGTTGGCGAATGGCCTCGTAAACCGATGGTGAGCCCGTTGGGGGTAAGAATCGTGACAATATGTTAGAGGACATCATTTTGGATAAGACTAAAGGCTTATAGTCAGACCACTTCACTCATGGCAACAGCTTCAGAAGCCAGTGATGGTGGTGATAAAATGCCATCCAGCGGCGTTTGATAATGCGGAGAAATGAGGATCACTATCGATACAAGAGGCTGAATTTTATCGGGTCGGAGATGGGTATGGTCCCTGATTAAGGCGTTTGTACCAGTTTATAAAGAAGTATGCATCTGACCTAGTCCTTGTTATAACAGTCGCCTGGAGCTGTGATCATTCCCCAGATGTCCCGACAGCTATGATGACATAAAGAAGGGGGGGAAAAGAGGTTGGCGCCTTAGGCAGAATCCTCAAGTCACGTGTGCTATGATACATGTATATCACGTGATTTTCCACAATCTTATCTGTAATCCCGCAGACAAACCAGGCCAACTGACGGATTTCACCAGTGAGCTGCGCACACCATCGAGCTGCGCACCCAACCCAACCTACGAATTTCAAATGCATTTATTTCCACTATAACGCCATTAAATTCAATTCAGTAAATTACAACATCTATCCGAGCATCTATTGATTTTATGCCCTATTTCTCCACAACCACTACACTTTGGGGGGCCCGTATACGTGGTTGTAAAGCCGGCGAAGGGCTTCTTCGTGGAGGGGGAGGAGGTGCTTCAATTGATTCCACCGGCTTAGTAATCAATTGGGAAGCTTCTTGAATTGAGAGGCCTTCTTCGGTAGGAATAGGCCTTCGGGATCGAGTACGCTTTTACTTCTGCTTCTCGTTGGCGGCGCGTAATTCCTTGATTTCTTGCGCTTGTAAAATATGACTTTGT